ACAGACAAAATCTTAAGAATATTGGTTAAGATTATGATGCACCAATTCATGGACAGGGAAAGGGAGATGGGAGAATGTGCAAGGTGGCCCAGCCAGGAGAAGGGTCACCCAGCCAAGGGGCAGACAGAGCCCTTGCAAGCCAGCTGTCCCTAGGACACAGCACACAGCCCCCTGCTTTCCATGCCTACACAGGGGGTATGGAGAGGACCCATGCAAACCCACCACCGTTTCATTTTCAGCAGAGGAGGACCCAGAGGCTCTCAAGTGTCCAGGGAATGGCTCCATCACACAACCAGCAGCACGTTCTTGTTCGCACCCCAAAGCTCCTGAACAGGAGATCAAGTTGTGGCCAAGAGGAATAGTGAGCCTGGTCCTGACAGAAGACAAGGCCTGGAGCAGGGCTCTGTCAGCCCACTGGGATCTCCTCAGGACACGGTCTCCACCCTCTCAGTCAGTCATGACCAGATGCACAGGTCTTCATGGACCTGGAAGGTTCACAGTTCAGGCAGCAATTTTCCTTAGGCGCAGAAGAAACACAACTCACTCCAATCCCCTGATTACCCAAAGAAGCCTGGTCAGTTAGGACTCAGGATTGTTAACAGAAGACCAGTCACAAACTGGCTCAATTAACAGAAGGAATTTATTAGTTCCTATCACTGCTGATTCCAGAGGAACAACAGCTTCAGGAAAGAATGGATCCAGGAGCTCAAGGTCTAGGATCAGAATGTGCCAGTTTCTCTCCCCCTCCATTTTTCCCACTGTGTTGTTGCCACTTGGGGTCAGGATCTTCCCACATAGCAGCAAAGATTGCAGCCAACAACTCCTGGCTAATAGTAGATCCTTCTCAAGAAGGCTGTAATTGAGGGGCACCTGGGTGGCTCAGTCGGTCAGACGTCCAACTTCGGCTCAGGTCATAATCTCACAGCTTGGGGGTTCAAGCCCCCATGGGCTCTGTGCTGACAGCTCAAAACCTGGAGCCTGCTTTGGATTCTGTGTCTCCCTCTCTCTCCGCCCCCTCCCACTCACACTGCGTTTCTCTCTCTCAAAAATAAACATCAAAAATTTTAAATAAAAAAGGCCATAATTGGCTCTTATCAAATAAACCTGGCTACATGGCCTTCTGGGAGCCAATCCGCGTGACCAAGAAATAGAACAAGCCAGCGGTCCAGGCCTGCTCCACCTACTCTGCTCTGGAACCCAGGTGGGCGGTGGTCAGTTCCAGGGAATCATGCAGAATGGGAACAGAGAACCACACCCACCAAGGAAGACTGGGACAGGGTCTACCCCAGGGGGCGAAAAAATCTGCTTCCAGACAGACCCCCAATGATCCCTGCCTCGTGGCCATCAGGTCCCCATGTGGACTCCTCCCACACTCCATCAGGGTTGATCTGGGTGACAAGAGACAACAGTGAAAGGGTAGGGGCCTCATTCCCAAGAGGAGGTTGTCAGACATGTGGCTTCTGGGTTGGGTAGGTTCTCTTGCTCTTGGCTTACTCGCACTCCAGAAGCCAGCTGGTGGGTTGTGAGCAGCTCTACTCAACGGGCCCTGGGGCAGGGACCAGAGAACAGGGGACTCTCCCAACAGCCACACAAGTGAACTTCAAAGTGGACGCTAGAGCCCCAGCCAAGCCATCAGAGGACTGCAGTCTCATGGTCAAGTCTGACGGACAACCGCCCATCTGAGCCATTCAGATTCCTAACCCAGAAGAACCGGAGAGGACCATGAGGATTTGTTTTCACATTGCCAGGTTTGGAAATAATTTGTTACACAGCAAAAGCTAACTCCTTAAATGAGCAACAACAGGAAACACGCCAGCAAGAAGCCAACAACACAGATCACCTGCTTCTCTCAAAGGCAGTTCTCATGGAAAGGTCTTCTTCCTGTGAACCTGGTCTCATCACTTGCGCATTCTTCATTCAGCAGGAAGGGAGGCCATTATTTAGGGAAGGATACTCGCATACCTTGATCTGTTACTCACTGTAAATACCTCCACCTCAGCACTGAGCAGCCTGGGGCCACAGAAGCACTGGGCTGGTTCGACAACCTTGTTCTGGGCTGAGCCCCCACAGCACCAAAGGAAAGCCATTAATTTTGAGCAAAAAGGAATGTGATAAAATACAGAATTCATTCTGGGGTTTTTCATTTTTACAACCACACTCAGAGCCAGTAAAAGACATATATACAGAAATACACAGTATTCCCATACTTACAGGAGAAATAATTTCACTTTTTAGGGTCTGAAAGAGCCTAGCATGTAACTCTTTCTGCACCACTCATTGAAGTTTGGGTTTGGATTAGGTAAGGGTCTTAGTAATATAATTATTGTACTAGAGAAAAATGAGGATGGTGAACATTTATTGAGCACTTATGATGCATATTTATGGAGCTAACATATGGTCTCTCATCTTATACTGCAACAATGGTGAGCTACAGGGTTTTCTCATCATCATCTTACAGCTAAGAAAACAGAAGTTAAGGAGCACCTGGGTGGCTCAGTCAAGTGTTTGAGTCTTGGAATCAGCTCAAGGGATGATCCCAGGGCCACAGGATCGAGCCCCATGTCAGGCTCTGCACGGAGCATGGAGACCGCCTAAGATCCTCCCTTCCTCTCTCCTTCCCAAACCCAAAAAAAAAAAAAAAAAATTGTTTTCCTGTTCCACTCATGGGCTACAATTCTCCCCAGAATTATCATATAGGGAAACACACTTCCTGTACGATACACCTGACCACGGTGTCCAGGGGCTCACGTCCTTTCAAATACAAGCACTCGGTGCAGACGATCGTCCCAGCTCATAAACGAGGAGACGCCCACCTGTCCTCGCCCAGCCACCACCCAGAAACACACAACCTGCAAGCAATGGAGCGGGCACTCCAGGCTCAGCAGACTTCCAGCACAATCCAAGAAGGACCAAGAAGAGAAGTCTCTCTGTGATTCAGAACCAGTGTCTCCACAGACTTCAGCCTTCACTGTAAACACACACAAGGATACCAGCTCCCTGGCATGGGCAGGCTCAACGGTGGTCCCGGGGAGAAAAGGCCCAGGACTGGAGGCGTCAGAATCCTTTAACTGTCAGATGCTCCTGAGAGGTCATTTTAAAATATGAAGAAGTTCTAATTAAAATTAAATACGGGATTGTGGCCCAACTCCTGATGACACATGTGTCACACTCCATTAGCACCACACATCACCCAGCAGCAGCAGGGCGGTAAATGCTGCTATTGGTTACACAGCTCTTGACTCCCCTGCATATCAATGAGACAACCTTACCTCCTGGCCTTTTTTTTTTTTTTATTTTTTTTAATGTTTTTATTTATTTCTGAGAGAGAGAGAGAGAGAGAGAGATAGAAATACAGTGTGAGCAGGGGAGGGTCAGAGAAAGAGGGACACACAGAATCCTAAACAGGATCCGGGCTCTGAGCTGGCCATCAGCACAGAGTCCGACACGGGGCTCGAACCCATGAACCATGAGATCATGACCGGAGCTGAAGTCAGACGCTTAACCGACTGAGCCACCCAGGCACCTCTCCTGGCCTTATTTTTAATGTTTATTTATTTTAAGAAAGCAAGAACATGCACAAGCGCATGCACAAGTCAGGGAGGGGCAGAGAGAATCCTAAGCAGGCTCTGTGCCATCAGTGCAGAGCCCAATGCAGGGTTCAAACTCATAAACCAAACATGACCTGAGCCAAAATCAAGAGTTGGACACTCAACTGACTGAGCCATCCACATACCCCCTGGTCTTATTTTAAAGTAGCTTGAAAGAATCACCAATGAACTGCTTATCTTACCTACAATAGGAGGGGGAAAAAACCCAAACTCAAATGTCTAACAAGTGGCAATTATTTTAATGTAGTACATTAACTCAATGACATGCCACATCCAGGCATGTAAGTCGTTAACATGAAATGGAAGCGGTCCAGAGAAGCAGACTAAGAAATGACAAGCTAAAGATTTTCAGTGTAGTACATGAAAATCTTTGCATGTGAACAAATTCAGGAAAATTCACATTTTTATCCAACTGGAGATTTTGAGGGTCCTTTAATAAAATACAAACTAAATCACAGCCAAGGAAATAGCATGGCTCTTTAGTAAGAACAGGCTTGACCTTACTCTTCAGTAGGAAAATGCAGACGAAAAGCCTTCTGTCTGTGCCACTTTTCCCCCGTGAGGCTGTCAGGGAACCACAGGTGGGAGCGGACCCCTGCGGGCTCGGCTGGGCAGAAAGAAACACGCCTTCCCACCCACTGCTCCAGGAAACACGCTGGCTCAGCCTCCAAGGAGAGGGGAGAGGTGCCCTCCCCCCACCTGAGCCGACTACGGCACCTTGACCCAGCAATTCTACTTCCGGGAATTTTGCCAGCAAATACAGTCATGGGAGAATCAAGTCACTAATGCAAATCACGGTGGCATTATTACAAACCCCACTACCAGCAAAGCGTCACGAACCACCCTCAGTGCTTGGCAGTCAGCACACTGGTCGGATGAACTCTGGCGCAGACAACGAAATATCACGAGCTTGTATTAAGCTGGCAGGTCCCCGTACACCCACAGAGCACAAGCTCTAGGGAGTCGGGGGGTGCGGCGTAGAACACCCGACCACTTTCCATTAGGGGAGAATGAAGGGAGGAGGAGAAGCAGGTGCGAAGAGGAAACAAAGCACCCACACGGAGCGTCTCTGGAATGGCTCACACTGCCCACCTCCAGCGAGCGAGCTGGGCAGGCGGGGGGGGGGGGGAGGCGGGGAACCTAACCCTGTTAACCCGGTCTGCCTCTCTTGTTTTGAACCTGTGCATACTATTGAGCATTTATTTGAAAAGTTAAATTAAGGTTTTAAGAGCATCTATTCGGTAAGTTAAATTAAGGTTTTAAATGCACAGATTTCCATAGTTTCTTGTTTTGTTTGTTTGTTTTATAACTCCAAGAGCCAGCGAAGGCTGCACTTGGGGTCTTCACGAAGCAGCCGCCCGCGCCGGCCTCTCGGGCCCTCCGACCCCCTACCTTGCCAGCGCCTGGACCTTCATGACGTGCCGCTCCTCCTGCTCCGCCACCTTCTTTTTCAAGGTGTCGACCTCCTGCCGGAGCGCCGCGGAATGCTCCATCTCCCCGTCAAGCAGGTTCCGCAGAGACCTGGGAAGAGGGGGCCCGTCTGTTCAGCGCTGTCAGCAGAGCCCGCGGCGCCAGAACATAGTCATTCACCCTAAGTCCTAAGCCCTCGGTTCTCCACAAGGGCCTGCGTAACCCGGAATCGCATGTCAGGGATTTACAGAGATCCCAGACTCTGCTCCAGGGTCTCGGAGCGAGGAGGACTTGGCCCAGGCCCCGTGCCCCACACAACACATACGCAGCGCCCGTTAAGGGCCAACAAGGAGCTCAGAGAATCCCATGCCCGTTTCGAGGCATCCCACACCAAGGGACAGCACGCTTAGGGAGACCACTTTGAGACGGCCACCCCAGCGCACAGACTCACAGGAGGGCGTGCCAGGGAGGCCCCAAGTATCCTCAGAAACATCCCAGAGGAGTACCAACAGGGGCCCGCCCTCGGCTCCAGCGCTGCCTGACACACGCCGCAGCCCTCCCCCTCTGCCGCCTCCAGGTAAACCCACAGAGACCGCGGTCTCCAGTGCCATCTCATCTGGCATCGCCTGGGCCCTGTTCTGCACCAGGTTTGGGAGCTGGCCCTCCGAACTACGTCCACTGGTTGGTCACCCTTGGTCTTGAAAAGCAGACACGACAGCAGCTCTTCCAGAAAGAGCCACAGGCTGCCGCCAAGGAGTGAATCACACACAGCTCTATCTACTGGACCTCAGGTGGCTTTTTCTAGAGAACACTTATGGACTTTGGGGCACCTAACATCCCAAGTCTCGTGTACACATGCCGGCTGACATCAGGGCAGGAGCCCCAGTGTGGCCAGGAGCTTGGCACACACCCGCCCCTGTCTCTCCCTCAGTGCCGAGGCCTGTGCTCCTTCAGAGCTTTGAGAAAATTCCCTTCGTGGGGCCTGGAAACCACCCCCCAACACAAACGTGGGGTGACTTTCTTTTTTTTTTTTTGGCTGCAAAGGAGAAATTAACTGACAGTGACTATTGTTCTTCGTAAGGTAAGACAAAACCCACAGCTTCTTGCAAGAGAATAGCTCCAGCTGGAGGAAAGAAAAACAATCCTCTAATGTCTACAAGCCCTTCATTTTAAGCTTATTTTAGTTGGAAAATGGTGCTGTCTAAAGATCCCCTTTCTAAAAAATTATCTTTTGGGTTTGTTTGTTTGCTTATACGTGTTTCCATAAAAGGATGAGGAGAAGCGGGTCAAGCTGGGCCCAACATAAGGTTGAAAAAGGACAATGGTGATGGCGTGGCACCAGAGACCCCGAATTCCTGCTCCGAGGACACGGGTAAGAAAGCCACAGGGACGCACACGTGCAGGCTCCAGTGTGCACCTGCCCCACCCCCAGGCTCCCAGAGCCTCACCGGCACCGCAGGCAAATCCCTCCACCCGCCACCCTGTAACCAAGACCAGGTCCTGGCAGGGGGAGAAGCTCACATTCAAGGCAGCCAGAGAGCAAGGACGTGGCTATTGTGGGGCAGCCCCCCTGCAATAGGGCCCCCCACCAACAGGGCCCCCCACCTTCTCACCGTCTGCAGCTAGCCGGATTCTGACAAGCAGCCCAGCACCAGCCTGGCCTGGGCCTCCTCGATTTGAGAAAACTACTTCAGGAGGTCAGAGGAAGACAGAAGGAGGGATCTTTTCGAGTTGGTGAGAAGGTTCTCGAGTGGACCGTAGGGATGGCTGTGTGTGTCCACAACCACTGAACACCACTGAACTGTACCCTCTAAGTGGGTCAATTATGTAATGTGTGAACTGTGTCTCAGAGGCCCTTTTAAAAGGGAATTTTTTTTTAAAAGACTGTTTTACCAAACTCTTAATTTGTTCCAAGGTAGAGCCAGGACTGTAAGGTATTCATCCCCTGCCAACAGTAAAGTGGCATATCCCACACAGAAAGGACCCACTGGTCACCATTTCATCAACCAAGCACACGTCCCTTCGTCTGAGACCCTCCCCATCCCCAAGGGGTAACGTCAGAGAGATGAGTGCTCGGGCCTGATGGTCAGGGTACCTGTTCTCTTCTTCCAGCTCGTCTTTCCGGTTCATCATGGCCACAATGGCTTGTCGCAGTTCATCTGAGGAAAGAAAGCACGGTCGAGATTAATCGGCAGACCCCGCCTGTTATGGCGTCCCCTCACGGAGCTGCATCGTGTGCTATTTAGGGCAAGCGGTCTAGACGAGCTCCCCTTTTCCCTTTCAAAATTAATTCCTGTACCATCTGCAAGACCCGACGGGCACAAAGTGATCACTTCTTAGCCCCACGAAGACAGGAAGGCAAGACAGTGTGAGGAGTCGGCGGGGGGGGGGGGGGGGG